AGGATGGTCTCGATCTCCTGACCTCGTGATCCGCCCGTCTCGGCCTCCCAAAGTGCTGGGATTACAGGCTTGAGCCACCGCGCCCGGCCAATCATGACTATTTTTAATTGTAGCATTTTAAAATTTAACTTTTAAATTATCTTTATGAAAAGAATGTGTGACTAATAGAATAATTTGGGTACAATTGAATCCATTTTACCAATAAAGTAAGCTTTTAATTAAGTAATAAATCCTTTAAAAGAGATGCTAAATGTAGTAGCAGCGTAATTGGATCCTAGTGTACTGATATGGTCTTGAATATGTTAAGAAAATGTTGTTTGTTAGAAGAGTTTCAAGACATTCCAGAAGGAGGAAGGCATTCTTCCATTAACCCTTAGTGTGTGCTTTAGTTCCATTTGGGGTTGACTGTTTTGTGTTGCTGCATGATGCCTCTAGTACAAGGCCAACACCTCCATGTCTCGTGTCTTTGCTGCTCCCCTTCTCTGCCATCCCTCTTCCACTCAGGGGAATAGCCCAGCATCAACTCAGTCCATGCTTGTTAACCAGCTCCATATACCACATCCAGCAAAGCTCGGAGTGACTCACAGTCACAAACAACCAGGGCACTGATCTTTTCTCTGTGTCCTTCCAGGTTCTTCTGGGTACAACCTGAGTTTAGTGACACCACCACCAAGTGAAGATTATGATTGTGATGATGATGATGAGGATGATGATGTCCAGGTAAGACCACCTTTCTTTGTCTTCTAAGGAAATGTTGGTTTTCTGATGTGAGAAACAAACTCACCAGTCTAAACCCAAAGAACAGACTCATGGAGCTGAAAAACAGCAAAGTGAGATTTTCTTTCCTTTTTTTTTTTTTTTTTGAGACAGTCTCGCTCAGCTGGCCAGGCTGGAGTGCAGTGGTGCAATCTCAACTCAGTGCAACCACCATCTCCTGGTTTCAATCAGTTCTCCTGCCTCAGCCTCCCGAGTAGCTGGAATCACAACATGTGTCCCCATGTCCCCATGCCCAGCTTAATTTTTGTATTCTTAGTAGAGACGGGGTTTCACCATGTTGGACAGGCTGATCTCGAACTCCTGACCTCAGGTAATCTACCCGCCTCGGCCTCCTGAAGTGCTGGGATTACAAGCATGAGCCACCGCGCCTGGCCAAAAGTGAGACTTTTAATGACAGTGTTGCAAGACCCGGTGCACTGCGCCTGGCCAAAAGTGAGACTTTTAATGACAGTGTTGCAAGATCCGGTGTCTGAGGAGCAGTCACCCCCAGCAGAGTTTCAAGGAGCAATTTATCCCCTAGTGTGCAGGTCCCTCCCCTGGTTCCTCATAGGCTGAGTACTGTGGGGTTACAGTTTTCCTGGGTGTGGCCTACTGATTGTTGTTGGGGGATTTAGGTGTTTTTCCAGGATTCTCTTACTGCATTTTTTTGCAGCCCACAATGCATTATCATCCTAGTCAGCTCAGGGGCTCTTCAAGTAGCTGGGTAGGGTGATAAGAACAGACAAAGTAAGGTACTTTGCAGGCTAGTAAATTTTCATCTTAGACTAATTTTCTTTGATTCAAGTGAGGGCAACTAAGTGGAGAGGAGGAGGCGCCCAACAAGCAGGCATTGCCCATCCAAGAAGGAACCTAGTATTTCTTCTGTCCTTTGCTGACGTAAACTGGTTCAAGGCAATTTGTCTTAAAAATGGGCCAGTGTATACATTATTTTTTTCACCTTATTTCTTTCCTTCTCAATTAATTTTGATATAGAAATATGACAAGGCACATTATGTACAACATACACAATTCTCTTTGTGAGGATGGATGTCAGTGGGAGTTTCTTTTCATCTAATACATGACACACTAGGATGTTTTTGAAGGACCGCATCCATCATCAACTGATGCAGAGGCAGTTTCCTCCACACCAGTTTTTCTCGTTGGATTAGGCCCTGTGCATTTAGCAATCTACATCAACCTCAAAGATAAATTCTGTGGGAAAAGCTCTTGTCTTTTCCACACGTGTCCTTTATGCTAGAATGTTTGGTCTTTGACCTTTGATTCAACCACTGTTTCACAACTAGTTTTCTGAAGTCATCAAGAGACTAACAGGTCTGTGGAAGGGGTGCAGCAGAATTGATCTGATCCTCATAGCATCTTCTTTTTTCTCATTGCAGATTTTACCATCACGTGTCCAGGGTACGTACCTTCAACTAAGTCACTTTCTGAGAAACAAATTTGCTGGCTTTAATATGTAGAAACCTTAATCTGGGTTCCTGTTAAAAAACATTGGGGGTGTGGTGAGAGCAAATGATTTTGCAAGTGTATAGCTATGAGCAGAGGGGCTGTAGAAATGTGTGTGAACCCAGAGCACCAACCAGGAGATTTTGTGTGAGCCAGTGTGTCTTCACCTGGAGTAGAAGTGAGTGCACCTCTCACTGACTTATCGTGATGTTGATGGTTCTAAAGAGTGGATTCTGGAGAATCTCAGCAGGGAAGAGGATGCCTCTCCAGGTAGTCAACAAGACTTCAGGTGGGATCTAATAAAACAGCATTTCCAGCAACCTTCATGTTATACCTGCTGCTTAGGAGGCTGAGGGAGAGTGTAGAAAGAGAAAAAATAAATATAAGCTGAGTTTGTTATTTTCAGAGTTCAATGTCATCAGGGCGAGAAGTACTACGTTTTTGAGTATCCTGTGATTTCGATCACATCTTATTATTTAAAGGTGATTTTTCTGAGAACACCTGCTCTTTTCTGCCTCTGCCACTGCAATATGTCAGAGCCTTTGGTTTGGAACACACTTCTGTCACAGGCAGTTACTTAATCCTGGAGACAGAATTCTTCTGCGGTCTGCCCAGATGCATAGGAGAAGTGGAGCCTCACCTTATGAACTGTTAGGTTTCATGGCAGCACATTCATTTGTCTGTCCTTGCTGTTTACTTCTGGTATCAAGACATCTCCCTGGGAGCAGAGGACAGAATGAAAACTCACTCTGGGCTCACTATAAAAGCTCCAGTGTCTTGGAAATGGAGGGAGAAGCACAACCTTGAGCACACTGTCAGCATTCCATTTCTTCATTTGAATGAGAATATGCAGTTTTACCATCATTTGTGGAAGAGGCTTTCCTTTCCCCGTTGTGTATTCTTGGTACCTTTGTTGAGGATCAGCTGACTCTATGTATGCATTTAATTCTGGGCTCTCTATTCTATATCTGTGATACTTATGGGTGCCCCCAAGCTAGGAGCACACGATCTGATCTTTTTTTTTTTTTTTTTTTGTAGATTTCACTCTCATGAATGTGCATCCTCTAACACTATTCTTTTTCAGTTACCATGGTTATTTGAGGCATATATAAATTATTTAAAGTCTTAGGATTATCTTTTCCATTTCTGCACAGATGTCTGTTACCAGTTTCATAGCAGTTGTTGTGAGTCCGTAGATCATTTGTGTAGTATTGTGTGTTAGTCAGGTTTAGTCTTCCTATCCATGAATACGGGGATGCCTTTCAACTGCTTTGCACCTTCTTTACTTTCTAGAATCTTTATGTTGACAGCTCATAAGGTAGATTTAACATGACTAATAAAAATTTGTGATTTTTAAATATTTTTTGGGCGGAGTCTTGCTCTGTCATTAGACAGGGTGCAGTAACGTGATCTCTACTCACCGCAACCTCCGCCTTGTAGGTTCATCTGATTCTCCTGCCTTAGCCTCCCTAGTAGCTGGGACTACAGGCATGTACCATCAACCCCAGCTAATTTTTTTTAGTAGAGACATGGATTTACCATGTTGGCTAGAATGATCTCAATCTCTTGACCCCGTGATCTGCCTACCTTGGCCTCCCAAAGTGCTGGAAAAACAGGCAGGAGCCACCGCACCTGGCCAAATTTGTGATTTTTTATACCACTATTTTGTATATCTGAACAAAGTGGCATCAAATAATTTTTTTTTTTTTTTGTAAGCTAGTTAACCAAAAAAATCACCCCTGTATGCATGGACTTTTTTTCTTGAATTCATCCATTTCTATTGGTATACATTTCCTCATTTCAGTAAACAATGTATATTTGAACCTGGAAACTTATCCTCATGGCAGAAAGTATTGAGAGTCACGACTCTCAACTTCACTGATGTAGGTTTCGCAGGCTGTGTGAGGTTGGCCTGTTTGAATGAAGCCTGATCTTTAGGGACTTTCCTCAGGGAGAGTGACACAGAGCTGCTGAAGCCCCTGATCACAGGGGCCCAATAGGTTTTGTGCACACCCCTGGTTCCAGAAGACTTACAAAGAGGAAATATGACTAGTTTTAATTGTAGCATATTAATAGTTAATTTTTTAAATTATTTCATGAAAAAGAGTGTGTGCTTAATAGAATAGAGTAATTTGGGTAAAATTGAATCCATTTCATTAATACAATAGGCTTTTAATCAAGTAACAATTTTTTTAAACAGATGCTAAATGTAGTACCAGTGTAAATGGATTCTAGTGTACTGACAGGGTCTTGAATATGTTAAGAAAATGCTGTTTGTTTTGAAGAGTTTCAAAACATTTGAGAGAGAGGAAGGCACTCTTCCATTGACCCTTAGTGTGCATTTCAGTTTCATTTTGGGTTGACTCTTCTCTGTTGCTGCCCGATGCCTCTAGTGCAAGGCGAAGATCTCCATGTCTCATGTCTTTCCTGCTCCCCTTATCTGCCCTGTTCCACTCAGGGGAATAGCCCAGCATCAACTCAGTCCATGCTTGTTAATCAACCACCTCCATACACCACATCCGGCAAAGCTCCCTGAGTGACTCACAGTCACCAATCACCAATGAACTGATCTTTCCTCTGTGTCCTTCCAGCTTGGCCTGAGGACCGCCTGTTTTTAAGATGCTCACCACGATACAAAGATGAAGAAGATGATGATGCTGCTGATTGTGATGATGACTGTGATGTCCATGTAAGATCCCCTTTTTTTGTCTTCTACAGCAATGTTGCTTTCCTGATTGCTTTACTTCTCAATTAATTTTGATATGAAAATCTGGCAATGCACATTATGTACAATGTACCCTATTCTCTTTGTGGGGCTGGAATTCAGTAGGAGTGTCTTCCCACCTTATATGTGGTACACTAGAGTGCTTTTAAATGACAGCATCCATTATCAACTGGAATGCTGAGGCATTTTCCACATCAGTTTCCCTCCTTGGATTAAGCATTGTGCATTTGTATATAAAATTAAAGGTAAATTCTGTGAATTAAGGTATTGTTTTTCTATAGCTATCCTCTGTGCTAGTCTTTGGGGACTTTGACCTATGGCTCAATCACTGTACCACCTTCTGGTTTTTTATCATTGTCCAGAGAATAACAGATCTGTGTGAAGTGCACAGCAGAATCTGATTCTCATAATGTTTTCTTTTATATAATTGCAGATAACAGCTTGGAATGAAAACGGTATGTACCATGAAATAACTCACTTCCTGAGGGAAAAACTTGCTAGCTTCAGTGTATAGAAACCTGATTCTGGCTTCCTGCTGGGAAAGAGGCTTGGGGTTCTCGTGAAAGTGATTGTGCCAGTATAGAACTCTGGCCCGGGAAGCTGTAGGGAGGTTTGTCAATCCAGAAGAAAGATGAGGGGATCATGTATGAAGCAGCGGGGGGTGGGAGAATAGCCCATCAATCAGCTTCAGCTAAAGTAGGAGGAGTGGGCAAGTCACTCTCTCTAATGACTTATCCTGGTGTTTTTCTTTCTAAAGACTTGACGCTGGAGAGTATAAGTGACGAGGAGACTCATCCAGGTAGGGAACTACGTGCCAGGAAAAACCCAATGGGTAAAGGTTCCCAGGAGCCTCCAGGTTATCCCTGCTGCTTGTGAGGAGGGGCTGAAGGAGGGGGTATGAAATCAGAAGGAAAATGGAAATATGTGTGAGGTCTGGCTTGTTGTTCTCAGAGTTTCTTGGCATCATGGTAAGAACTGTCTCTATGGGCTTTGGGGGTGCCACGTTCATGAGAGAGTCTCTTTGCAGTCCACCTGCTCTTTTCTGCCTGTGGAACATGAGAGCCTTTGGTTTGGATTAGTCAGCACTCCTAGGGATTGGTGTAGGTTTAAGCACTTGGTGTCATCTGTGATGAAGGGAATCTGGGGGACACAGCTCTCTCATAGGCATTTCCTGGAACCTAGAGAAACAGTTCTGCTGTGTGCCAAGGAGAAATCGAGAATCACCTCTGAACTTTCAGGACTTGTTAGTGCACATTCATGTTTCTGTCCTTGCTGTGCACTCCTGGTTTAAAGGGATCTCCCGGGGTGGATGACGGAGTGAATATTCACTCTGGGCTCACTGGTAAAACTCCAGTCTCTTTTGAAGGGAGGAGGAATGTTTGACCTTGAGCACATTTCCAGCCTCCATTTCCCAACCTAATCACAGATTTTGAGATGAGGTTTCTTTCTCCCCAGTTCTCTAATTTTTGGGGAAGCCAAGAGTTCCTTCCCACAAAAGATAGTATCACACTATTTCCTGTCTTCAAAATTTTGGCTTTGGTTTTGGCTTTTAAGATGATATTCCTCACTTAAGTTCTAGACTTTTTTTTTTTTTTTGAGCCGGAGTCTTGCTTTGTCGGCCAGGCTGGAGTGCAGTGGCGCGATCTCAGCTCACTGCAAACTCCGCCTCCCAGGATCACACCATTCTCCTGCCTCAGCCTCCTGAGCAATTGGGACTACAGGTATCCACCAACATGCCTGGCTAATTTTTTGTATTTTTGGTAGAGACAGCATTTCACCATGTTGGTCAGGCTGGTCATGAACTCCTGACCTCAGGCAATCTGCCCGCCTCAGCCTCCCAAAGTGCTCAGATTATAGGCATGAACCACTGTGCCTGGCCAGGGTTATTTTTAATATAACTGTGGCTGTCTCAAGTAACGGTGCTTTGAGTATTTTTGTTAGTGGTTTTGGAATAACACAAACACTCACGTCTGCCGAGTAGACTATTAGAAGGGGGCATATCTTTCATTGTCATAGATAATGCGAAACTTTTTCCAAAATGATGACACCAATTCATGCTCCTCTAATAGCATACATGAGTAGCCATTTCTCCAAATCCTCGTCGACTCTGTTTTATCTCTTTCTAAAAACCATCACTTTGATTAGTCTTTCATTTGTATAACATATTACTTAAAATCTTTACCAAAAAGAAATGTTGTTTGACTCTAATGATGCAGTACAGTAGGTTTGTTTACACCGCCTCACCACACACACGTAAGTAACACACTGCGCCGATATTCCAACAGGTACGACTTTACTAGGCAAAGGGAAATTTTCAGCTTTGTTATAATCTTATGGGAGCACTGTCATACATGTAGTCTGTCATTGACCAAAATGTCATTCTGCCACATATGACTGTAGTTAATCAGCAGGTGCTTAAGTTATAAGAATGAACATAATAACAGATATAAATTAAGTATCAGATATTATATGGACACTTCTCTATGTTGCCTCCTTGAAGTGTCACAATCACGTTGAGACAGAATTAGTTTTGTTATAGTCATTATACAGATGAGGAATGTGAGTCTCAGCTAAGTAAATTACTCATGAGACACACCAAGAGCTGGATCTCTTTAACACCAAAAGCTAGTCTATAAACTAACATGCTACACTGCCTGTAGTGGCAAAGTAGACTTACCATAAAATGAAATGTGCTTCCACAGCTGGGCATGTGAGCTTAGTGAGGCTGGCGTTACCCATTGCTCCATGGCTCAGAAATTGGTCTTGCTGAAACTCGGATGGAGAAGCTCTTGGTTCAGGGAGTGAAAAGTTACTGACAGGTTGTATGAGTGCAATTGAAGCATTATGCTTCCATAGAGCATGTGGTTGTTCTCATGGAATGAGAACAGAGAGAGTCAAAGAGAATCACCCAGAGCAAGACTCTGTCTCAAAAAAAAATTGTCCATCTAATAGGTTAAAAATTAGATACAGTCAACCACACTGGTCTAAAGTGTGCTTTTAGACAGTGATAGGAAAGAAAAAAAAAATAAAATAGTTGATGTGTTCTATATGGGAGTCTGAGATAAACTGCTGTTAAATAGAATTTTGTATGAAGTTCTTTAGGCAATAAGTAAAAACGGAAGGGAAACCTGATGGCAGAGAGCAGCCAGGACCACAGTTGTCTGTGGATGCAGAGACTGTGGTGGAGCCTGGAATGCACCAAAGACCATGAGTGCCCCCGCGCAGTCAGTTCAGTGACAGCACCGCTCATTATCTGATCTGCAGGCACCCCAGTAGCACATGGAGAGAACAGGGAGGCCTAAGATGAGTCCGGGTCATGGAAGGTCTCCAATGAGGGGATCTTGGAAGATGTGAAAAGCATTCTGGAGGGGGAGGTAGCCCTGCAGCATAGCGGTCTAGTTTCCCTCACTGGTCTGACTTGGTATGGCACAGAGGGGCTCACACAGCAGTCCCCAGTTCTCCCACTTCCCTAAAGGCTTAAACACACCATGATGTGGATCAGTTTCTTAAAGAGCACAATAGCACGTTACTGAACCGGAATTGCAGAGAAGTGGCCTCGTTTCCTGGAAGTGTTTCAGGGAGGGGAGGTGGTGAGGCTCCACTGGGGAAATGCTCATGGCCAAAGAAAGATGAGGCCTGAGGACTGGCGGTTGGGCTCAGTCACATGGAGACCACGTTGTGCCCTACAAGAGCAATCTGGTGGTGTGGTGCTGGGGAGGGGAGAGGGCCAGGACCACAGACCTGTGCAGGGATTCCGAACCAGAGGCCTCCTCAGAACGGACACAGGAGATGGTCTGTAAGGACCTGTTCGATTCCAGTGAGGGCATGAGGGGCAGGCAGGGAGAAAAGCAGTCCCACATAGGAGGATGCCCAGGGTGGGGAAGCAGGTCTCTGGAGAGCTAGGTTTCAGTCTAAGGAAGAAAGGGAAGAATGTTCCAGGGAGAGGATGAGGCCCTGGGGCCTCCAGAGGGCTTGGAAAAAAGGTTTCAGCAGACGGGATCAGAAAAGGAGTATTCAGGGCCTCGAGGGGGAGGTGAGCTGAGCTTCTTGCAGCCCCTGATGCAAACAGGTATGAAGGACATAGTGAGATTAGTCCTGAGTCTGAGGCAGAGAGTGGTGGGGAGGCCATGAGTTTGGGAAAGGGAGGGAAGGGCCTGGCTGGGAGAAGGCGGTGTTCTGGGCCCTCTACAGTCCTGCCAGGGAAGATCAAAGCCCAGAGAGGCCCAGGGCTCCCTTCTGACACCTGCACAAACAGGTGTACCTCTGGTCAGGGGGTGCTCTGTAGACTGCTGTGGAGTGAGGGAGCAGCTTCTCCTGGGAATAGGACCCCAGGCCCCCTGAGATGCCTGCTGATGTGTCTTCTCTGAGGGACTGTAAACTGGCTTCTTGGGTACCCACAATATACGAGGCACTTGTTATTCAGTATGATACACCTGGCACTGCCAAAATCATACCCATTTATGATAGGCACAATTACTATCCTCACTTTAGAGCTAGGAAAACTGAGGCACTGAGCAGTTAATCAACTTGCCCCAGGCTCCATAGGTAAAGAGTCCGTGTAGAGCTGGGGTCTCAACACAGCAGGCTCCCTCCATAGTGTGAGATTATAGCCACTGGCTGTCCCACTGCGCTTGTCCAGCCTTGGTTGTCTGGGGTGGCAGTTTGTGCCTTTGGGCTACAGTTGAAGACCAGTTGCCTCTTCTAGGCTGGCTCCCATACCTCTCCCAGCAGCAGCTTCTTAAATCCCAGAAGCTGATAATGGTGTGGTAAATGGGCCTTGGAGAATGGAGGCAAGGGTGTGGTGCTCAGGACTTCTAGGTCCCAACATAGTCTGTGTTCCTGGCCCTCCCCTTGTAACAGAGGCACCTCTGTCCCTGTCTTATGAGTTCCCGCATCTCTAATTTCTCCTCAGCCTGGACTGCAGAGGCGGGAGCCCAGGAGATGCTGGTGTGGAGGCTGCTTAGTGGGATGACGTCACAGTTCTCACTGAAAAGGGATTGTCTCTTCTTCATCCAGGGTGAAGCCATTCCAGGAGGTGACCAGGGTGCTGACCCAAAGGGAAGGCCAGCGCGTGCTGCAGGGACATCTGAGGGAGGCTCAAACTCCGCAGTCAGGCATTTTCCCAGGCTTGGCGTAAAGAAGTGATGGAGACTTTTGTGTGATTCCTAGGCTCCCCTCCTGGACAGCACCAGGAATGTGTCTTCGAGGTGGCTGGGCTTCAGGCCAGCCTGGGGGCGTGCTTGGGTGACTGGAGAATGCAGCTATTTGCTGGGAAGATCTTAAGGAGGAAACCAGAACCTCTCCCTCTCCCGAGCTCCCATCCTTGGGGGAGCCTGTTAGGATAGAGTTCATCCTCAGTCAAAAGAAACTGCATCTGGTTTCAACTTTTACCTTCCTTCCTGCCACCCAGGATGGGAGCAGGCAAACCTGGCTGAGGAGAGCCACACCCAGCCACACCCCATGGGTCAATCACTGGAGCTTCTGAAACCTGGGTGGTGCCTGGTACAGCTGGGTTCCTTCCTTTCCGCCAGCCCAAGTTCCTGCCTCCAGCTTTGCCCCTGGAGATCTCAATTCTGCTCTCTACATTCTGAGGGGAACTCTTGGCCCCAGCAGCAAGCAAAACTCCAAGTGCACCTCCCATACATCCCCCGGCACTGGGTTCGGCCTGTACCATCCAGGACCTGGTGCTTCTGGGCCTGGCATTTTGCTGGGATTACAGCGAGAAGAGACGTGACTGTGCTCCAGGAACGGAAAGTGCCATTCCGACTTGAAATAAAGAGACTGAGCGCATTGATTCAGGTGTGGAGGTGGCTGATCAGATCTGACCCGAGGAGGGGCTCAGGGTTTCCACTCAATGACATCGATGGTGATCTGGGTCGCCTGCTGTAAGGCCTCACCCTCGTAAGCCTTACTGTCAGAGTCCTTCTCCAGGACATGGAAGATATGCGTGTGGGCCTGCAGGACCTTCCAGCCCTCAGGGGCCTCTGGCAGCATGGTGAGGGCCTTGGTGGCCTTCAGGCACACCCTGCCCATGGGTGAGTGTAGCACCTTCAGGAGCAGGTTGATGGCTTGTGTATGTATGGGACACATACTTCTCGGCAGGCCAACACAGGGCATTCCTAACAAGCTGAAGGGGTCTCTTCTCACCCCCTCACACCCTAGCCCTCTTTTGACCCTTGTGCCTGCAGTCTAGGGGAGGTGCCACCCCGTCCCCCTGCTGCAGGAATTCCCTGATTAATTCATGCAGCGAGACACTGAGGCAAGAGCTGGGTTTCCCACCTCAGCACTCTTTTGAGCCAGGCAATTCTCAACTTGGGGCCAAAGTTCCCCTGCTGTGACCTTTGGGGATGACACAGAAAATGATGGCAAGGATTGTGGTCACAGCGGACACAGGAGGATTGGGGGAGGCTGGGGAGGCCGCAATTTCACAGAGAAAGCTCTCTCCGGGAAAGCCACTCTCCTGGTCGCACAGAAAGGGACCTCTGTGCAAACCTAAGAATGATAGGGCTGGGACAGGGCCTGGGAACATGGATTTCCACAGACCACCTGGGGTCTGGTTCAGGGACCACATTTGGAGAAATACCCGAGCCTCTAATGAGACTCTCAGGACCTAGGGAAAGCAAGAGGGCCCCCCCAGCAAGGGGACATGACCACAGCCACGGCAGGGAATCTGGGGGGTCGGTGACCAGCCCATCCTCACAATGAGGGACCCAGTGTGGGAACACCCCCCAACCACCGCAAGCTCTGAGTCTTTGTGCTGCCCCAGTTTTGAGGCCAGGATGTAAACTGTGATCCTGTGTGACCTGGGGTGAGAGACAAGACACTGCGCCTCCGTTTCCTCACCTGTGGAGGCAGACATCGCCTCGCTGGAGGGTTGTCTAAATGTGAGGTTTGGAGACAATGCCTGGCACACAGGAGGCTCTCAGTGACTGCTGGGTGTCAGGATCGTCATCAGTGCTTTTCCTGTTCTTGCCTTCCTCATGGGGAGGAGGTGCCAGACCCTCTCCTGCATCCTCCTGCAGGCAGAGGCCAAGAAGAGTTCCTGGAGCTGCTCCTCTGCAGCTTCTACACCAGTGAGGGGATCAGAGCCTTGCTGATGACACCGTGGGCCGCTGCACGACAGGTAAGGGCACTGAGGGTGGACCGGCCATACCCCCTCCCATGCTGGTTGGCCTCAGGGCTCAGGAAGGATTTTGCAGAGCAACTGGGTGGGTTTGAAAAAAGAACTTGCAAGTTCCCTGTCACCCCCCGAAGCTGCCTGACCAGGGGCCTGAGAAGCCAGCAGGAGGCTGTGGGTGAAGTCATGTCAGGGGCTGAGAGAGCAGGTGCAGAGGACCCGGGAAGGGCCAGCCTTTGGTCACTGGCATCTCAGGGAGCATCTGCCATAGCAGGGGACAGTGGCCTGAGAGGCAGCAGCCACCCCTGGGAGATCCGGCAGCTCACTGCTGCGGGGTCCAGGCACACCAGGAGACCCTCCGCTCTTCCCTACCACCGCCCCAGAGTAGGGGAGCCAACAAAGCCCCCCCGCCTTTCCCATCCGAAATATTTCAAAAGAGTTGGAGACTCACACCTGGTCAGACCAGCCCTTGAGAAGAGCTTGGGTTCGACTCTGAGATGGAAGACCTAGAGTGTAAGCCGGTGTCACACACCAAAAAGAGCTGTGCCCCAACTAAAGGTGATGGGAAGCCATAGGCTCTGGCCAAGGGGTCTTGAAGGAACCTCAGGCTCTGTGGGAAGGGGTCTCCACATGGCACAGCTGGGGTGCAGGTACTGGGAGAAGTAAAATGAGGCAAGCCTCCCCCATAAACAGGTCCCACCTGGCTCCTCCCAGCTGGAGCTGGAAGCCTGGGAGGGAAGTGGTCTCTCCCTTGAGGCCTCGAGAGCCTGTGGGGCAGGTAAGGGGCGAGAGATTTTGTGGGATGTGGGCCTGTGGAGGAGACAAGCCAGAGGAGTGAGGAGGAACATCAATCCCTAGAGGGGCCTGGGCAGACACTAGTTTTCACTAAACAGTTACTGTTTTGCCCATCATGAACTTGAATTTTTTTTTTTTTTGACGTGGGGTCTCACTCTTGTCACCCAGGCTGGAGTGTACTGCCATGAACTCAGCTCACTGCAACCTCCACCTCCCAAGTTCAAGCGATTCTCCTACCTCAGCCTCCCAAGTAGCTGGGATTACAGGTGCACATCACAAAGCCCGGCTAATTTTCTTATTTGTAGAGATGGCATTTCGCCATGTTGGCCAGGTTGATCTTGAACTTCTGACCTCAAGTGATCCGCCTGCCCCGGCCTCCCAAAGTGCTGGGATTACAGGCATGAGTGCATAATTAGCCTGTGCCTGGCCTAATTTTTATTTTTAAATGTCATATTAAAATCTCATTTATCTTGATTCCTGAGATTTCTGGCCCCTCTTAAATTTGGCACCAAGGCCAGCATCTCACTCGCCTCTCCCCAGTCCTCTAGGTAGGGCAGGAATGGAGATAGGCCACAGAGGATGGTGGCCGCTGTCACCACAGGGCGCCCAGGCTGCTTCTTTCTCCCTCTCCTCCTCCCCCCGCATATGTGCCGCCTACACGCCCTTTCCCCCACTGGGCAGGCGCCACCTCCCCAAGCACCAGGTAGTGGGCTCCAGATGATGTTGTGGGGGCCTTCCCTGGGATCCCTGGGTCACTAGACCTCAGCCAGGGTCATCTCCTAGGACTGATCCCTAGGAAACCTAAGCCCACACAGGGTGCAGGTGCCTCTGAGGGAAAGGCCCTGGGGAGGGCTTGTGGGGGGACACAGTGCAGTCCCTCTCCCTGTGTGACCCCAGTCCCTTCTCTCTGTGTGTGTGGGGAAGTCCGCAGATAAAGCACTGAGCATCCGGGTTCATTTACAACCTTCTAGGTCACAATGGCCTGTTCATCACTGGTGAACTTTATACCCCCAGGTGATAATCACTTCAGGGACAGCACCTCCATCTCAGTGGCCTCATAGGCAGGTCCTGCTGTGATCCCCATTGTACAAATGGGGATAGAGGCCAGAGAGGTGAGGCCACCCGCCCAAGTCACTCAGCTCATATCACAGAGCTGGCAGAGTTCATGAGTACTGTGGACAATCGCACCAAATGCAATGGATTGGGATAACTAGATCAAGATGTAATTTCACAGAAATAAAGGAAAGCCTTGTATTTTATTCCAAATATCAACTCTGAAAGGAACCGGATAATAAATATAGTGTCAGCTCAGCAGCACTAGTGATTGAGAAGGTCACAGGGCTTTAGTTAGTCCAACTCCAGCTCTTCCCTGTCCCTGTCCCCTGAGCTGATGGAGCTGGCGTGTGCACCTCTGTGGCCTCAGTTTCCCCTTCTGCAAAGTGAGGGTTCCTGATTGGTGAGGGCCTTGCATCCTGATGCCCACCCCTGCAGTGGCCGTGGTGAGGGCTTCCATGAGGAAAGCTGACCCTGTGCAACTCCAGCAGTGCCCCCATCGGGGGAGGGTTAAGACCAGGGGGTGCCAGGCTGGGACCGGGGTCTCAGTGTCCTGCAGGTACTTCCAGGCAAGGAGTCCCTATCAGGGTCAGGCTTTGTGCCAGGGCCGAGGTCCTGGAGGAACCAGACTTACCCCAACTCAAGTCCACAAAAGGAGGGTGTCATGTGAGGTGACAGCCACGGGCAGTGTGACGCTTGCAGGACAGAGACTGGGACAGGGAAAGCCCAAAGGGTCTCCACAGAGGATGAGTGACAGGTGCAGAGGACACCTGGCAGGGGACTCCCAGGCATAGAGTCTCAAGAAGCTCCAGGTGGCCCACAGGGCTGGAGCAAATGAGTCCTCGGGCTAAGGTGATCTAAGAGCAGGCTAGACAGGTACCAGGCCCAGACCCAGAGAACTCATCCCTGGGGGACTCATCTGGGGAGTCCTGGAGGCTGTTTGCAGGGAATCAATGAGACCAAACACTTGGATGGGTGGGCAGGGGTGCGAATCCAGAACTAGGGACACCCCAGGGAGGGTGTTATGGTGACCCAGGCAGTTTGATATGAGGACAGATTCAGTTGAAGGAGGAACAGGAGAGGGAGGAGCAAGGACAACCCTGGGGTTTTTTTGATAAACAGTGAAGAGAACACTGTGGGCATGTCAGTGCATCCTGTGTTTTAAACAAAATGCCCAAGGGAAGTGGTGGTCTGCAAAGCATCCCAAGAAGGCAGCAAGGGCTTGGCTTGGTCTCCCCCAAGGCCATCCACTCACTGACTTGCTCATAAAGGCTTACTGGGGGCCAGGCTGGGGGACACAGGGAGGGTGGACCAAACAGAGGGGGACTGTTCAGTCAGGAGGACAGATCATGGCCCAGTTTTGGAGCAATAAAGGGGGAGGGGGCCCCCCCTCTGCAGTGGGGGGATGCCAATACTGGTCTCACTGATCAAGCAGCACTGGCTGGTGATGGGCACCCCCTCAAAGGCAGCAGTGCCAGTGGAGAGGAGACCAAGGGCTGTGGAGGGGAGCTCCTGGAGGACACGAAGGGAGAGGCTGACAGACCACATGGTCCTTGTAGCCTGCCTTTATCCTCAGATCCAGGAGGAGTCTTTGGAGAGATTTGGGTAGAAGACTGATCATCAGATTTGTGCGCTTCTGGTGAGAGGCTGGTGTAGACCAGATTAGAGGAGGGAGGCCCAGGGTGGAGAGTGGGGGTAGCCCGGTCCGGGGGAGGTGAGCAGCCTGGAGGAGGCACAGGTTTAAGCCACCCAGGCGCCTAGATTGCTGTGAAATGGGTGGGTGAAGCTGAATTGGGGGCACCAGAGGCTGATGGGGAGTAGTGGGCATTCTCGGGGGCTGCCCGAGGGAGACTGGATTTCAGAAACATGTATGAAAAATCATAAAAATGTACATTCCTTTTAATCAAGTCATTCCACTTCTAGAAACCTGTCTTGGGGAGATAAAACTTCAGCTAAAAATTCTTAATGTGTGGGAGGCTGAGGTAAGAGAATTACTTGAACCTGGGAGGCAGAAGTTGCAGTGAGCCAAGATTGTGCCACTGCACTACAGCCTGAGCGACAGAGACTGTCTCCAAAAAAAAAAAAAAAAAAAAAAAAAAAAAAAAACCACGTAAATATGTTCATGGAGGGAAAAGTGGAAACAGCCTAAATGTCGAACATTAGGGGGACGTAAAATAAACTGTTACATCCATGGGAGGGGACAGTAAACATTGAAGATAAGTATGTTTTTGACAACTGTAATGACATAATAAACATTTTAAAACATTTAAATATTTGAAACATTTCTATTTTAATTTACAGTAAAGTTTACTTTTTGATGTAGCTAATAAAACCTAGTATAATTTTTAAAAAACCATTGACTCATGTAACTATCACGATTGAAATACAGAATATTTCCACCACCACCCTCAAATTTCTCTAAGCACCCCTTTTTTAAAGACACAGTCTCACTCTGTCACCCAGGCTGGTGTGCAGAGGTGCAATCTCGGCTCACTGCAACCTCCGCCTCCTGAGTTCAAGCGATTCTCTTGCCCCAAACCCTTGAGTAGTTGGAATTACAGGTGTGTCACCACACACGGATAATTTTTGTTATTTTTAGTAGAGACAGGGTTTCGCCACGTTGGCCAGGCTGGTCTCAAATTCCTGGCCCCAAGTGACCCACCTGCCTCAGCCTCCCACAGTGCTGGGATTACAGGGGTGAGCCGCTGCTCTCAGCCCTTATGTTCCTCTTACAGTCAAAGCCTTTCTGTACCCCAACCACGGCAACCACTGATCTCGTTCTGACCCTATACTTTTGCTTTTTACAGAGTATCATAGAAGTGCAAACGTAAAGGATGTGACCGTTTTTTTAATTAAACTTTTTATTTTGGGATAATTGTAGCTTCTCATGCGGTTGTGAGGAATAATACAGAGGGATCCTCCGTACTCCGGCCAGTTCCCTCAAGGGTAGCACCTTGCAGCTACAGTAACGATCACAGCCAGGATATTGAAACACTGATACAGCGAGAACGGAAAGTTCCCTCCCAAACAGCCCTCATGCTGCCCTTTCACAGAAACACCCACGTCCCACTGTCCCAAACCCCTCCTTAGCCCCTGGCAACTACTAATTTGGTCTCCACTTGTATAATTTTGTCATTTCAAGAATGTTCTGCACATGG